ACGAAGACGCTTTCCTTAATATGAAGTAGAACAACAAAGGTCAATTCAGATATCTACCGAGTCGACAAACAGTGACCAATGGTGACCCTTGGCTTCTCTATCTTATCAATATGTAGCTTCGAGTGTTTAAAAAAAAATGTGAACTTTTTTTTTCTGAAGGTCAAATGAGAATTTTTTAATATTTAACAAACTGCTTTATCTGGACAGAAAACAACAACATGCGTTTATAAGAACAATCCTAAAAATACTGGGGGGTAAAGAACTTAAAAGTTATAAAAGATTTGGTTGAATGGGGGAGGAAGGTGGGGCATGGGGCTGGTCATTTAACTGGCCTCTACTTAGTAAAATTCGGCATTAAACCAAGTTGCATACATGTAAAGTCTCGATCGCAGCCAGCCAAGTATATTCGTTATAGAATGCTTGAACATAGACCTGCCAGGTCACAACCTGTGGGTGGTTTAGACCAATAGCTCGTTGCCACATTACAGGTCTGTACAACGTGGCAATGAGCTATTGGTCTAAACTGCTTACAGGTTGTGACGTGGCAGGTCAGTGTTCAGGCCTTCTATGATGAATTATCTCGAGTCATCACCGTCGGCTCACTAAATTATCTATCACTAAGTTATTTACCTTTAACTTATTCTCTTTTATTTTTCATCACGTGTTATTTGTTTTGGTTTCAGATCTCATTACGTCACTTTCCCCTAATTGTACGATGTTTTCTAACTGATACATAGACACACCAAAGTACCACGTAATCCATTCAGTAAAGTCTGATGCAATTATATAAAGCTGAATTCCGATGATTCGTCTATGTATTCTTTACTTTTGTTGGACGCTTACACAAGCTGCTTTTTCCGTTCCATTCATAATTATATTTCGTTTCGCATTGAGAATTTATTTTTCGGGAATTCCCGTGTGGGTCAGCGTTATGGACGTTTCTGAGCAGACGTGACCTTCAGCAACATCGCGTAGGGTCATGCCCATCTGGAACTAATGGCGACATTAAGCCAAAGGGGTAATTAGTTCATTTTGTCCGCATCGGGGAAAGGGAGTCAGGGGGGCGGGTGCTATAAAAGAGTGCGTCGAAGGGCGCCGAGTGATTTAATCATCATATACGTTTCTTATGTAAAGTTCATTCGTTCTACGTTTGATCTTTTCGATGTGGTGACGGGCGCCAGACAACAGCAGGCGTTATTAATACGTGTGGCAATTGTCGTTGTAATGGTGACTGGTAAATTGTAAATTCGGTAAAATGTCTATCGTCGAAGTTGTGTGTTTTCAAACGTCTGTTATAACATTTGAAGTATCGCGTTTACTAGTTACTATTTATACAGATCTAGAACCTTATTTTCGAGTTATAAATCGCCGGTTATATGAGTTTTTACACACAAAGTTGCGCGGTATACAAACTTTATTTTACTCATAACCATAGCATAACAAAAACAATAGACTTACCTTATAGTCTTTATACCTCCTATATTTAGCCGTGTGGTTGTAAAATGTACATTACAAAACTTTATGAACATCTCATTATAAACCTACAGAAAACAATATGTACCTGTGATAGTACTATATGTACCGGTAATTTACAACAAATGATAATCTAGTCGTTCATGTGTGGGTTGTGCGGTTTTGTTTTTACTTATTCTATAATTTGTGCGGGGTAAACGCGTGTGCTTAGACCTAGAAAAAAATCTCTGTATAATTTTAGAGCCCATAGACTTTAAGTGCTATTTTTAACTTTACTACAACACTGGTCATTTTTAGAAAAAGTAAAAAATTGTAAGAGATTATTATTTTTCAGGTTGCCTATTGCATTAATTGGGTTGTCTTCCTTGTTTGATCGGGTTGTCTTCCTTGTTCTCCTCTTCAATTTCTGTAACAGGAACATATTCTCTATTAGTTGTAGTACATAGTAGCAGGGCAGGCCTAAGGCCACTGCAACCCATGCGGCCGCAGTGCGCCCCGAACTTCCATAGGCCCCGCGTTAAATTTAGGTGTAAATTATTAAATTAAATAATTATAACAGAAATTATTAAAATCTCCTGAAAACTAGACAAATTTGTCAGATTTAAGGTATATTCTACGAAATGGCAATTCTTGCTATGGAGCATTAGTAATGTAGGAATCAGAATTGTGATGATATATTATACTGAATGACTTCGTTGCAAACATGGCTAGTAAAGTAAAGTAAATTTGATCGGGATTTTTGTAAAGATTAAAGGATGAATAAAAAGTAAAGACAAATTTATTTTCTAATACAAAATCTTAATTTTCCCTGTCCCTACCCAGACTAGGCACCGCACAATTCGTTTTGCATAGGTCCCCTGCATAGTAGACCCCACTAGATTCTTAACTTGGTTTCTCTGATGTTCAGATATTATGATTATTATCTTCTTACCCAAAACTTCTTCAGGACTACAAGGAATGGAGGCGGACAGAGCTTTGAACCCTGACTCATCCTGTCGACAGTCAAAAGGGCTTACCACACGACCAGGCAGTCATCCTCCGGCCTCGACTAGATCGTGTGATGGGCTAACTAACTTAAGATCCTGATATATAATAATAATTATAATAAGCCTCCCCCCCCACACACTTTTTACACACACCATTCGTGCCCTTTAGGAGAAAGCCTTTCAATACACAAAGATAAGAAAGATAGTATCTTCGATTGAATTCATAAAATCCGCCTTTGCATCAAAACAATTTCTACCATAATCAAAATGTTTCCTTAACACTTTGACGACCTTTGACCTTCTGCTTCTAATAACATGTTATCACTGTCCAGATAGATGTTCAGAAAACCCAAAAGATATGGTCAGGTGTGTTTGAATCACGCCAGCATCGGGTGGACACCAAAACCATTACAAATTAGTCGAATCAAAATTATATGCAAAAATGGTTGGTAATCTTTCCAATGTCGCAGTGACACTGCTACTATCTGTTTAGTCAGAAGATACTGATTGTTGATAATGCATACCTGGAGGCAGTCGAGTCACTATAGGAGAGTGCGGGGAGTGCGGACCACAGCGGGTGACACCGAAGGTAGTCTGTGCCTCTGAAGGGATATACCATAAATTTAGAATTAAGATGAAAGGGTCTTAATGAAATCAGAACAAAGTCGCCGGAACGATGTGGGTGAAAAAGAAAAAGAGAAATTACGCCCAACAATAAGAGTCTCTATTGTGTTTGTGTTGTCCGTCTGTCATTTTCATATATATAAAACAAATAGGCCTACCCTATAAAAATTGAATTGTATGGTGCTTTAATGAGTTGCTAAGGTCGGTCCTTTTTTTGAAACATCTATCAGAAATGATCAGAATATGTACTGCCGAAGACTGGCGTAGACAACAAAAGGAGAACTTGAATCGACTTCCGGCAGACAACGGTTTGGTCTGCTGGGATTGCGTAGACACGTGAAAAAGCAGTATTCGTCCTCAAGCTTGAAGGCATGGGTGGTGTGGAGGAGGGGGGGATGATTAGCAAAAGTCGAAAGTTAGAGAGGAACCACTTCACCAAGATAAATGTTAAACAGTAGCCTTTTATTCAAATTTTACCGAGGACGCTGAAAAAATATATAAAAAAGGAGAAAATAAAAAAAAAGCACGTCTACTACAAGGAGGGCAGATCAAGAGAGGTAGGGATAAAAATACCTAATGCGTAAAGGAGTTTTGCTAATTATCTTTCTTACTATTGACTAAAATTTTTCTGTAATGAGAGACAATATCATGTATGATAAACACTTTAAAACAATCATCATCAATTTTGTCTTGTCTGTTTTCAGTTTCTTTTCTATTCATTCTAAAATCAATTCGAATCTAAGACTAAGACTTCTAGTTAGTTTCCCTTTAGAAAAAAACAAAACAAAAACAATTTATGACACTAAAGGAAAGGTAAATTTTCCCGTTCAGACCGTGTGGTCAATAGGGCAGATGATGTTAAGGTCATTCGCTGGACTAAGCAATTTTCTTTTTTGGTGACATGTTAAACCGAAACTCTTATGACCACGTGACCGGAAAAGGTTGGCCCCCACCTGCTAAAGTTCATAGAAGTTGTTTCATCAAATGATAAAAGTTGAAAGATAATATATTTCTTAAGAATGTAATATAAGTGTTTTCCATTCATAATACATTCCTCTGTGGATCAAAGATGACTCTGATAATAATAAGGTATGTCTGTCATGCAGAGGCGGCCTGAGCAGTACGCTGGGCCCTGGGGCGATTTTCATACGGGGGCCGTAAGTGTAATCTATATGCAGGGTATCACATCCCCCTAATGGGCTCGTCCGCCTCTAATGTCTTATTATTGATTCAAAACAAAGTACCTTAAATAGGTACTGGCAAATGCGTTGTTTCGAGATCAAAATATGTTAAGGTAATTGGTATCATTATAGATGAAGGAAAAGTTTTCCAAAATATTCAGCAACAAGTCCTCGTTTATGAGAACTGACCTTTTTTTCCGAAGGAATAAGGGAATCTCCTATCGTGGGGACCCACTTAGGGCGACTTAGGCCGGCGCCTTCGACATAGTCACGGAGGTCACGCTTAGGCACGGGGTCTGAGAGGTTTCACTCGCCACCCCGTAAGGTCGCCTCTGAGAAGTGCAATATTTCACGTGGCTACGCAGACCTATATGTGATTTACATATTTTGTCACATCTATTTGCAGACATAAATGTTGCTTGCAGGAGGTCAATTTAAATTGTTTTTTTTTCGCAGATTTTATAAGACTTGGAGGCTTGGGCAGTAGCTTTCAATTGGTCTTAAAGGTGTATTCCAAGGGCTTTGTTAAAAATATTCAGCTGTCTCAAATTACTTGATAACAGGCACTCATTTCTGTGTCAGCAAGAGGGCGTCTTATGACAGATGCGATTTTGCGTAGAATAATTTAAAAGTACCATTTCAAGTACATTTAATTAGTTTATTTGTACGCGCAGATCCCAGGGCTCAAATGGTGAATTGTCAAAGTTAAATACAAAATAACTCGATAACTCAAAAGGTTACATAAAAAGGATTATATTTAGTTATATATTTGTTTGTACAAAAAATGTAAGTAGTTATCAGGCGTTCATTGCAGTAAAATTAAGTACACAATTAAATTTAATAAAATGAAAAAAAAAAGTAATTCTCAATCTGATCAAGAAATAGTTTTGTATATTTGTATCCTTTGTATATAATTTTGTACATTATTTGTATCGTGATTCTTTTTGTATATATTTTGTATCCCGTTTCACTTCTCTTGTTGATTCACGTTGTTCCAAAGGCACGTCATAATAAAAAGTTCAACGTCAAATATGTCATGGTCTGTTAGAAAAAATTATTTAAATGCAGAATAAGGGGAGATAACAAATAAAAAAGGAAAAACAGTTAAGGTTAATGAGTTGTATCCCTTTATCTTCCATTCACTTGTTAGTTCTTGGATTTTCTGAAGCTGGAGCTGTCTTTGAGTCTGTAAAGACAAGTTAGGAAAAAAAAAAGCCTTATATAAGACATACAGATAAAGCTAAATAATAATAATTTGTAATTTTTCGATACGCGAACTTATAAACACAGACATAAAAACTCGAATAAATATGACTTTGAAATACACTCATAGCATATACCAATAACATACATGGAAGCGCATAGAAAGATAGGCCTACATATATCGACAGACTTACACAGGCCAATAACATATTTGAATTCACAATTCATGCAGTTAACTAGGGTGTCATGTGAACAGCACAACAACCTTACTTTTCCCCAACTATTGTCATCAGGTACCACCCATTAAAGAAGGCGCGGTGGGTAAGCGGTAAAGTGCTTGGCTTCCGAACCGGAGACCGGGGTTCGAATTCTGGTGAAGACTGGGTTTTAATTTCGGAATCTTCTGGGGCCTTTGAGTCCACCCAGCTATAATGGGTACCTGACATTAGTTGGGGAAAAGTAAAGGCGGTTAGTCGTTGTGCTGGCCACATGACACCCTCGTTAACCGTAGGAAACAAAAAAACAGATGACCTTTACATCATCTGCCCTATAGACCACAATGTCTGAAAGGGGAACTTTACTTATTTTTTACGACCCATTAAAGCTGGGCGAACTCAGAGGCATCCTAAAATATGCCGAACAAAAATTACCAGTCTAGTCTACACCAGGATTCGAGCCTGGGATCTCACATTTTGGAAGCCAAGCGCTTTACCACTCAACCACCTCACCTCCTAAATTATAGTTATGACTACATACATGCAAACACATGATACACACCTATTCTTTATTGATACACACGTGTGGTAAAATTAAACAAGATTACAAAGAGAGTTTGTGTTGCCACACAAACTCAGAGGCAGCCCCCGTGGAAGACGGATCACTGTCAGATCCGCATATTCGCTGGTCGACTGAGGATGGCATCAAGCAGGGTATGAAACCGAGACCGAGAGATAATCAGTTTTGCGCGCTAACCGCACGACCAGGCATTGCTCTTAATCTAATGACAAACTGGTTACAAACTAATAGCCTACTATTGATAATATATCTACACATTACGGAATGACAACTACCGGATATGTACAATATGTCAGAAGAGCGATTTTAGATAATCTTTTGGTATTAAGCATTTTCATTTAGGCCTAAATGGAACTAGAATGAGGATGTAGATCTACCTAAATTAAACTACTAACTTAGCACTCTCAATATCTATATCTACAAGATCTAGATCTAAAATATAAATTTAGGATAATGTAGATGTAATTTAGATAAGATTTATATAAAAAAACACACTAGATAATCAATTAATAGACTAATTGCAAAATCTAAATATTAAAATAGTAGATTAGTTTTAGTATTTTATAACATTGCAATATTGACATATTGACAATCTAAACTTTAGAAAAAAAATGTACACTTTAAGCCTAGAAATTAAAATTATAGATCTTGATCTAGTCTAAATCATGGCTGTCTGGTAGTGCGGTTTAACCCTAACCCTCAAACCCTGCCCGCTCCCATCCCCCGTCGTCCTAGGGGAGGTTTGGACTACAACTCTGAAGGAACATCCGAAACATGTAAAACAACAAAAATTCTAAACTAGACCAAGAAATTCTTGATCTAGATTCTATAATGATTTTAATTAGAACTTAAATCTAAATCTAGTTTTAAAAATCTAGATCTAGTGTAAGAAAAAAATCTAGATCTAGTGTAAAAAATCTAGCTCTAGTGTAAAAAAAAATCTAGATCGTGTAAAAAATCTAGATTAGATCTAAATCTATTATGTCTTTTTAAAATGCGAGTCACATTACGAGGTTTAATAAACATTACTATACTGAGTTGTTTTAGCATTTAAAGAATTAATTCCTTATGACGTCAAAGGAAAAAAAATCCAATACGTCACACGTCCTAGTTAGACTAAAAAATGTCATCTATACGAGCAGCTTGTCGAGTGTTCATAGACATTGGTGCACCGAGTGAGATCTTTTAGCATTTCATTTAAAGAATTAACTCCATATGACGCCAAAGGAAAAAATTCCATTACGTCACACGTCCTAGTTAGACTAAAAAATGTCTTCTATACGAGCAGCTTCTCGAGGGTTCATAGACACTGGTGCACCGAGTGAGTTCTTTTAGCATTTCATTTGATGGGCTAGTCAGACTTAATATATATTTATATATAAAAGGATTAAAGACGCTTTTTTTTTGTTTTGTCTGTCAGCTTGTCTATCCGTCATGTTAATAGCGAGAAAAAAAAGACTAAAAGCTATTGAAAATCTGAATAAAATTTAATTTCCCTTCCGAAACATCGCATAAGTTTTGTTTCTATTATAGATTGTTCCGGATGTTTATATATTTGTTGTGAGAAAAAATAAGAATTCCCGATTAATCAAATGCCGTTAATTACATTTCTGGGATGGTCTGTTATGAAAATTAGATGTACCATACCCTTAAGGAGATTTTATCAAACCATACTTTGGTGTTAGGAAGTTGTTTTCCTTAAAAAATCAGAGCATAATATTAATGATAATTAGATTTTTTAACGTTTTAGATAGAAAGTTAAATGTAGTGTAAGAGAGAAGTGCGATTTTACATAAATAGTGTTAAACTATTTTTCATAAAAAATCCGAAACAACCAATTTTCGTAATTGAGAAAATTATTTGTTTTATTTATTAGATGATAGATTTCAAACATTTATTAGCGTTATTAGATTTTTCATATAAAATTCGGATCATTTTTGGCGTCGATTTGTAACAAAATTAAGGTAATGTAGGTCGATTTCTTTTTCCAAACAAAATCCGAAACATTCTTTATCGATTAAACAACTTTTATTATGTTTCGGCAAGAAAATTAACTGTAAAATAAGTCTAAAAAAATTGATTTTCAATAATCGTTTCTAGTAAATTACTTTCTTATTTTAAAATCCTGAATAACCTATTGTCGATAGAAAAATATAATTATTTGAAATAAATTTGTTTTTTATAAAACAATATCCGGAACAACTTTATAGTTAATGAAATATAAATCAGTATAGATATTTTTATTTAGCATTTATATGCTATTTACATTAAAAAACCGGAACAATATATTAAAGATCACGTATTTCTTGCAACGTTTAAGCATGGAAATAAAATCTACTATAACTTAGAAGAGCAAACAAATATTCATTGGTATTGATTTGCTTTTCACAAAACATCCGGAACAATCTATTATAGATACTTTAAACTATTGCAATATTTTTGAATGAAAAATTAAAGGTTAAATCAGATTTACAATAGCCTCTAGTGTTATTTGTTAATCTAATCGTGACGGACAGACCGACCAACAGACAAAACGCACAAAAATAAGCTTCTTCTATTCGGATGGGGGCACTAAAGAAAAAGTAAATAAAATCTGATTTTTAAAAAAAGTTTAAGGAATTGGTTTAGTATCTGATGATGTTGCGACGTTACGCTACTGCACGAAAGTCGCTGCTTAAAAAGTCCATTTTAAAAAATGTGCATGATATTTACATACAAAGTGCATTATTAGCCTTTATAAACAAACGGAAATGTTTTCTTTTAATTTTAGCAGCTAGTTAACCAAAAATGCATCTTTAAGTATTATTTATATTTGTTGTAAACATTTCCTGTACATTTTATAATTATATTTGACTTAGTGGTACTGAAGATACACAAAAATTATACATCTTTGTTAGCATATTGTAACATTGCCTCCCTTACATTTACGTAATTGTTTTAGAATTGGTGTATTTTTATGAAAAAATCGCTTGCATAATTAATTTTATAAATTAAACGGTTTGCTTTTAGAAAACCAAAAGTAGCCGTTCCACCTAAACTTTTTAAGCCGAATTTAATGATGAAATAATATTTTTCATATCTCTTCTTGTTTTCGAGATCTGAGTGTGACAGACGGACAGACGGACATTTTACACAAACCTAATAGCGGCTTTTTCCCCTTACAGGGACCACTAAAAATTGAAATAGTCATTTACTAGACGGCCATCTTACACACATAGAGCCTAAATGAAACGTTTCTCAAGAACAGCCTGAGACACAGAGAGTAGACAGTAAGAGAGACAGAGGCAAACACACGACAAACACATTGAGAGAGAGAGAGAGTTGAGGGAAAGGCAAAGGGGGGGGGAGAGAGGAAAAGAGAAAAGGAGGGAGAAAAAGAGAAAGAGACTGGGAACTTAGGGAGGGACAGAGCTTGAAAGAAAAAGGGATGGAGAGAGAGGAACGAGAGAAAAAAAGTGGAGAGAGGAACTGATGAGAAAGAGGGAAGAAGAGAGAGAAGGGGGGAGAGAAATAGGGAGATAGAGCTTATGATAGGGACAGAAAGAGAGAAGGAGAGAAAGAAAGATAGAACTTCAGAGAGATAAAGACAGTGAGAAAAAAACACTCTCAAGTTTAATGTAGCCTACGTACCATTGTGAACTTTGTCCTGTAAAATAATATTTTTAAAACAGTGTTAATATTATATATTTTTTTTAAGTAATTAGTGCTCTTAAACATTCTAAAATTACATCTTTAAGTGGAAAGAAAAAGAAAGTACCGAAAACGTATTCCTTCCTCTCCTTATAAAGTTATATAAAAGGATCCGAACCCAGCACTTTCTGCTGACGGATCAAAAGTTGTATGCTTAAAATCTTACATGTAATTTCAAAATTTCTTGAAAGTAATATTAAAATTAAAGTCTACACATACAAAAAATAATAAAAAAATATAAAAAATCCATTTATAATTTTACATATTGAAAAGTTAAAAAAATATACCAATTTTAAAAATGTTTACTATA